AACTAGTCGAACAGTTACAAGCTTTGCTACAGGGGCAAAGGTTTCCTGGTAATCTAACCCTTCAATTTGATTATACCCTTTTGCCACTAATCTGGCCTTGTAGCATTCAACTGTCCCGCTGCACCAAGTTTGATTTTTTATACTCATTTGCATCCAATTGACCTCTTTCCAGGCGGTAATGGTACAAGGGACCATGTGCCATTGGCGGTAAGTGCATCAAGTTCTTCTTGCATAGCAACTTGCCACTTTGGATTACGAGCGACTTCTACAAAGGTACTTGGCTCCTTTTCAATTGAAAGGGCGGTGTTAAAAACACGATGTTTATGTGATAATCTAGCATATGACAAGACGTCGGTTAATAGATAGAGGGTACCTGTGGTTTTGGCCAACACGAAGTTCGATATTGGGGGGTGCCTTGAGGGAAGAGAAATACCAACATGATACACAAATAGCTAGGTGTTTTTGTTGTTCTTATTGGTCGTGGTGATTGTATTTGTTGGTCTAGAGTTGCAGGTTGTTCTGAGAATAAATTTGAAGGTGGGGTAGTCTCTTGAGAAGAGATTTCGTTGTCTTGAGAAGATGAAATATTTTATTGAGGTAATTCGTCGAATGAAGGCATGTCGGTGTGGGTAGTGAAGTGCGGAATTGAGCCTTTATCTGCAGCGAAAGAAGGGGAAGGAAAAGTGTTTTCATGGAAACGAACATCTCGTGATACAAAAATCTTCTCAGTTAAAAGGTCATAAACTCTATAGCCCTTTTGCACGTATGGATATCCTAAGAAAAGACATTGAATGACTCTGGGATCAAACTTGTTTGGTCGTTGATGATGTGTTGAGGCAAAACAAAGACACCCAAACACACGCAAATGATCATATGTAGGTTTTGTTTGGAAGAGCATTTTAAAAGGAGTCTTTCCTTTGAGAAGGGGTGTTGGTGTTCGGTTGATTAGGTAGGTGACAGTTAGGATTGCATCTCCCTAAATTTTTTTGGGTAAATTAGTTTGAAACAATAAGGTTCGGGCTATGTTGAGTAAGTGACGATGTTTTCTTTCGGCTACACCATTTTGTTGCGGAGTGGAGACACAACTTGATTGGTGAATGATGCCTTTGTCGAGATAAAGATTTCTCAATATGAATTCGGGACCATTATCACTTCAAATGATTTTGACTTTTAGATTGAATTATATTTCAACGAGGTTTATGAACTTGATGATGTATGAGTGTGTATCTGATTTATAGTTCATCAAATAATTTCATGTGCATCGAGTATAATCATCAACAATTGTGAGAAAATACCGCGCTCCTGTGATTGAAGGAACTTGGTATCCTCCCTAAATGTCAACATGAATTAATTCAAAATGTGTTTTTGAGCTAATGGAACTTGTTTGAAAAGATAAACGAGTTTGCTTAACCAATGGGCAAATTAAACAATCAAAAACATTACAAATTTTCTTGTCTATAATTGGAAAAGGAAGCAAGCTGGAAACTTTATTTGATGGGTGGCCTAGACGTTTATGCTAGAGATTTGGGGATGGTGAAGTAGCAACATTGTGCTTGCTCTTTTGTAGAGTATCAAGGTAGTAGAGTCCTCTTTTAGTTCCCGTCCCAATCATCCTCCCTGATTGGTGGTCATGCAGCACACAAGTGTGGTTATTAAAAAGCAAAACATTGTGAATCAAACATAAATTTGCTAATGAAAATCAAATTTAATTTGAAGGAGGGGATACATAAAACATTTTGTAGAACAAAGTCTGGACGTTGCTTATGTGTGTGACAGTTGCAGTAGCCCCATTAGACAAGTGAACTTTTTAATTGATGACACTAGATTTTGTAGTAAGTTGACTGAATATACCAGGTGATCTGTGGCTCCTGTGTCAAGAATCCAGCTTATTTCTTTGTCAAAAACAGAGACACAAGATTTTACCTGCGATATCACTCAGGACTGATGTACTGCCAACATGATTAACCATCGAATTGTTCTCTGCAAGTAGTGATATGAGGCTTTGATATTGTCCGACTGTAAGAGTAAATAATGCAGGACTCATAGATGTATTGGTATCCGCATTGTTGGCTTTGGGAGCAAAATTTTTTCGTTCAGGTTTATTGTCCGTTGGATTGGTCATTTGCAGTTTCCTACAGTCATTGATGACGTGTCTCTGCCATCCACAATAATCGCATTTGAGATGTTCTCGGCATGTGTCTGAGGTATGCCCAATTTTGTCACATTTTAAATGAGGATTTTTAGGCGTGAAAACTTTCTCCTGTTTTGTGTAGGATTTTTAGGCGTGAAAACTTTCTCCTGTTTTGTGTATTATTCTTCACGGCAAAAGCTGAAGCTTCTGGCTGTGGCACATTTACATTGTTCATGCCGCGCTGTTTTCCTCTTGGAGCGCGAGAGAATGTGCTTTGCTGACATTGGGAAGAGGATCCATGAGCAAAATTTGTCCTCTTATACTAGTGTATGTTTCATTAAGCCCCATGAAAAAATTTCATGGTTTTCTGGTTTTGCTGAAACTGCATCATTTCCTTCATGGCACCACACGTGCATTTAAAAATGTTATGGAGAGCATCACGTTCATCCCATAAGCCTTTGAGCTTGGTGTAATAAGCTCTAATTGTCATATCACCTTGCTTGCAATCGTGGATGGCTTCTTCGACATGAAAAATATGAACGTTGTTGGTACGAGAAAAACGTTCCTTCAAGTCGAGCCAGATTTCATAGGCACTCTCGTTATATATTATATTTGTTTCAATGTCTTCTGCAATTGAATTAAACAACCTGCCTTGTAGAGCCTCCATTGTTGAAGTTTTGCGGTGGACGTCTCTGGTGGTTCTTTGACGGTACCGTAGACAAAACCTTCTTTGTTTTTTATGTTGAGAGCCATCAACATGGCACGACTCCAGGAATTGTAGTTTTCTTCATTCAGCGGCTGTGTAACAAGCACGAGACCGGGTTGATCTGAGTAGTGGAGAAAAAAGGGGTCGTTCGAATTATCAAATTTGTTAGATTCAGGTTTTGCTGAATTTTGAATTTTATCTGCCATGTGTTTTGGCTTAGAAGAAGATAGATGGCGTTTTGGCGTGGAAGAGGAGATGGTAAGACTCAGAATCGTGTTTGCTCTGATACCATGTTAAAACTCAGAATAATATGGTGGAATATACATACTTTCATTTATATGAACGTGGTTATAAATATCCCTTACAATAATCTTGTAATAGGAAAAATAATAAAAGATAAATCATCTGAAATGAAGGGTATAACACTTGATATCTTCAATAATTAATTCATATTAATTATTATGAGATATATTAAATAACGTAAAATGGGAAAATAAATATCTCATTGAATAAATTATTTCTTATCATAACTCTAATTCTAAGGAAATAATTTATTTATAAGAATAAATTATTTCCTATTATAACTCCTAAACTATAATTTTTTACATTTATACCACCAAGATCATTCATATCACATCAAAAGCACCACCATTTTAACTTTCAAGTAAAATACACCTTTTCATGCATAGGTAAGGTGGTGTATTTAAAAAATGAAGGTTAGTGGTTTGATAAGTAAATACATAAGAATCAAGTGGTATGCAAGTAAATATTCCTACGAAGTAGAAGAAGGTCACCTGGTGAATAGGAGGGTACATTGAATTTGTACAGACAGGACATTCAAGTAGCTCATGAACACCACTGGTTGAAGATAAACCAACTTTCGTGCTCGGAGTTACAGGAGGCATGGATGAGTGGGAACTATCAAAATCTACAGTTGTTGATGCATCACAATCCATGTCTTCAGTATCAGGAAATTCCACGCTAATGTCGCGTCCTCGAGCCATAAAAAACTTGTAATTTTTAGTAAAAATCCTTACATGGAATCAATTTTAATTCCTATTCAAAATTAAAAAGTTGAGGCCAATCTTTTATCCTGCATCGCCAAAAGAGAGTTTTGATCCTTGAACCAGATATTCCCGCAGAAACAAGCTGCAAAACTTGCCGCAATACCTTAATCAGGCATCAATAAATCTATAAATTACAAGTCTCGCCGGATGGAACTTCTAGTCTTCTACGACTCTGTAAATTAAAATTGAAGAAAATCAAAAGAGAAGCCAAAGTCAAATCACGCGGAATTTACACAGCCAAATAGCTTCTTGGTGATAACAATAAAAATTTAATGAAATATAAGCAACCAAAACCTATAGACAATAGACCAAAATTAAATTTCTTTATAATAATAATAAGAAAAAAGCCTATCAAGCCAGTAAAATTACATCAAACGAGCAAAAAACTTAATCAACTCCACACAAATACACAACTGAACTCCCATCGCAGCTTAAAATTCCAACCTACCCCAATCAATTAACTCATAATCCAAACTTCCCCGCAAGGAACAATTAAGAATCCACAAAAAATCCTTACCAAAAAAAAAATGAAAATCCCCATTACCTTCGAGCTGACGACAACAGCAAAGACTGGAAAAGCAGAGAGTATCCACTTTAAAAGTCCACTGCCAAAGAGAACAAATCGCAGAAACAGTGTCTTGAAATTTCTAGAGTTTGTTTGGCTTCAACAAGACAAGGCCGGCATCGCGGCTTCTAATCTAATCTAACCTAACAGTGGCCAGGAAGCCTAAGAAGGTGATGACCAATTCTTTCATAAAAAATGGGAACCATTTCCACTCTCCAATCAGGTGATCCGGACCGTCCATTCATAAAATATCTGCTTAGTAACATTAATCTCCCGTCACGTGGCCACTCGACAACACCCATGGGAAAACGACAACAGAGAAATTTACATGCAAATCGCAGAATTTTTTTATTTACACAGCAAACCCCCTAAATTTCATTATTATAATTATAATTTTTTATTTATTTACTTTTAAAAACTTTTAAATAATAACATTTTTTATGTTAGGTAAAAATTTAAATGTTACACCTCAAAGAAATAATAAATAAATAAATATTTTCATTTTTAAATTAACTTTAATTTAGACGGTTGAGGGTGTAAACCAACCAGACAAGAGAGTTTAAAATCCTTTCATGTTAGGCTAATTTGAAATTTTTTTTATTCCAATGATTTCGTGTTCTAAATAACCCGTAAATATGCGAGTTCATGTTCGACTCAATTCAAATTTAAATTAGCTCGTGTTCGATTCAATTTTGAAATATTTGTTTTATCCCCCTTCCAAAATGGAGTGCAAGTGACAACTGAATCTTTTGAATTAAAAATTTTAAATTTAAATGAGATTCTTAATGGGAAGCTTTTCTCATGTAGGATATGAGCCAATTTGGAGCCATCATATTTCGAGCCGAGCCGATCTATTAACAAGTCTAAATCAGATTGAAATTATTTTAACTTGATCAAAATGGATCGATTCAGCTTAATTTCAATCCAATTGGAATCAAAATGAAATAATTTACGAGTCAACTCAAATTATAAACGAACAAGCTTTAATTTTAGACGAATAGGGTTGAATGCTATTTTAGACTTGGGAGCTGGATCGATCCGGCTTGAAAACCTGATCAAGCCGGCTCAAAAACATAACAAGCAAGCTCAAAATATATATATATTAAATATTTGTTTCATCCCCTTCCAAAATGGAGTGCAAGTGATAACTGATATTTTTGAATTAAAATTTTTAAATTAAAATGAGATTCTTAATGGGAAGCTTTTCTCATGTAGGATATGAGCCAATTTGGAGCCATCATATTTCGAGCCGAGCCGATCTATTAACAAGTCTAAATCAGATTGAAATTATTTTAACTTGATCAAAATGGATCGATTCAGCTTAATTTCAATCCAATTGGAATCAAAATGAAATAATTTACGAGTCAACTCAAATTATAAACGAACAAGCTTTAATTTTAGACGAATAGGGTTGAATGCTATTTTAGACTTGGGAGCTGGATCGATCCGGCTTGAAAACCTGATCAAACCGGCTCAAAAACATAACAAGCAAGCTCAAAAACTTCATTTGAACAAAGATTATTTATCAATATTAAAAATATAGTAAAATGCCAAAAAAGGATTATTTACAAGTCAGAAAATATAAATTACAAATTACATATTGTAAATTTATAATTTATAATTAAAAATATCAAATATAAAAATTACATAAATTTTGAAGTATTAGTTACTCTTGATTCTTAAATCTTTCAAACCAAATAAATAAATAAATAAATAAATAAAATAAAATAAAGGGCTCGGTAAGTGCTTTAATATTTTGTATGAAATAATAAAAATACAAAATGATTAAACAAATACTTTTGTTTTTCATATTTAATTTCCATAAGATTAACTAATTCCTGCATTTCAAAAAATTAGAGAAAATATATTTACCCAATATTCAAATATTAGGCGGTTTTATATACCGACCAATTCCTACCGTATTTACGTATCTAACACCTCAGGTCCTCAACTTTATTTTTTTTTTTACATTTATAACACCCAAATTTCTTATATACACTTTTTTAAATACAGTATAGAATTTTAATGTAAAAACTGTACAAATTATTATTATTATTTGATTATTTAAATATTTAGAGGCAAAATTAATCAAACATGAACGAACAAATATTTGTTTGTGTGCTTGGTTCGTTTATAAATCGAACTCAAAAAAATTATTTATTTTTGTCTGGCTTTCTTAAAAGAACAAATCGAACATAAGCTACTGAACAGTCCAAGCTACCCAAGCATCTCTCAGGGGCGCTCGATCACAACCAGTCGATAGACCAGCTTTGCCTAGGCAGGAGCGATCGTCACGCAACTGATTTCCATGGACAACCAAACTAAATACATCGATCTACTAATGATCTTTGTATTAAACTTAAATGACAGCACGAATCTTGTATTAAATCAGCATGTTAACTGCATTAAAGACGGTTTCCATAATCACTCTCTTATTTCAATAATTAAGGACGATTTCCATAATCGCTCCTTCATTCCCTAATTGTACAAAAAAAAAACCTCATATGAATAAGAGGCCCAACGATGAATGACAGGATTTTTTTCCCTACGCTTCTCTACGAAGAATTTTTTGTCTGCTCCTCTCTCTCCCTCTCCTACTATTCTTCTCCTGGCTCCAACTCTAGATGCGTGTTTTGCTGAAGGACAATTTAGGATTCAACATCCTAAAAGGTGGTGCGGTGAGCACGGACATGCCCCAGATGAGAAACGAACCAACTACAAAGAAGAAGTCTTGCAGAGAGACGTGGTACCCATGAAATTAAATAGAGAAACAGTGCAGCAAAACATCCAGGAAGAGGTCCAGGTTCAGTAAGCACATATAATGGATCAGTTTGAGGCCCTCCAAGCGGTCAAAACTCAGAGGAACTTTCAACCACCACTCTAGGAAGGAAAATCTCGGGGAACTTGCCCTTAGAAGGTCCCTCGCAAAGATCCTCCTGCACTTAACAGTTAGTTTGGTGACCGACCAACTAAAGAGAAGAGGTACACCCAGCCCGCCGACAGTGTGACATCTATGTTGATGATCAAGTTGTGGGCCTGGGGTACGCCAACCAGCCAAGTGCAGCTGGGGTCTTCTCTCGATGAATCATAGAAATCATATCCCTGGAGAAGCTAATGATTCCCCATCTGGATCCTCTTACAAGGGGAAGAGCAACCCAGCGGACCAAGAAGCTTCCTTTGAATCGTCGGTTGGAGTTCTATATATCGATAACACTACAAAGTACTGACTCTTCCAGACCACGCTAAAGAAGGCCGCACTTCGATGGTTCAGAAAACATTTCTTGGTGCACTTTGCCAACGTGCAGAAGCCAAGGAAGGATATTGAGACCCTTCTCCAAATCAGGCAGGGAGAGAACAAAAGTCTATGGGCCTACATCACTCGCTTCCAGAAGGAAATGCAAGAGGTAAGAAACCTGAAGTCTCTCATCTCCAGAACTGCTTTGAAGCTGGGAATCCGCAGCCAGCGATTTAGGTATGACCTAAGCTTGCTTAAAGCAAGATATTTTGTCAAATTCTATGAACTAGCCAATGACCATATCGTCAATGAGGACCTTATGGACTCCTCAGGAACCAAACCAGAGTCATCCAACCGTTGGGCGTAGAAGCGAAATGACTGGGATGACAAAAAAACATAGAGGGATGGTCAGGCCCCTGGTAGTCAACGAAATGACAACCCCCAGTCTCAGGATGATTGTCAGAGACATCAGACTAACGAGCACTCGTCCCGCTATTATGAGCGACCGCACGTATATGAGGAAATGTGGGATTCGACACTCGTGAATGTGTCAATGGTCGAACTAGTCTGTGTCATCTAAAACAAGGACAAATTCTAAAAGGTCCCTTCGTTGAAAATTGCTTCGGCCCTTGCGCCTATGACCAAGACCATGGATACGACATGGAGGAGAGTCGCAATCTCAAGAATTTGGAGGAACACATTAAGGCCAAAAAATTGAGGGAATTTGTCGTTGTCGGCGAGCACACGTGGCGACAGGGGAAGACTCCGGCGGAGGAGCCCACAAACGAACCCGTCCGAGCAGGCGAGATCTACCTGGTTGGGGTCATCCCAGCTATCTTTAAGGGAAGCGGAGAGTCGTCCCGACATTCCACTCTAAAAAGGTATCAATTATGGGAGGTGTGCTCTTTCGCCTCTTACTCTCGTACTCTAGCCTCAAACGTTTTTATAGATACAAAGCTCCCACTAAAAGAAAAGAGGGCCTGAGCGTAATAGATTTGGTCGTCTCGCGGGGCAATTGAGAGAAGCAGTTCACCAACACGGAAAGTTCGTTGGTGGTGGAATCCCCATCAATTTACAACGCAATATTCGGTCGACCATTGATGAACAGTTATCAAGCAGTGACTTTAACTTACCATGTGGCCGTGAAATTTCCCAGAGATGGAGAAATGATCACTGTTCGAGAGAACCTAGAACAGTCAAGAACCTGCGACCTTCGAGCGATCACCAGTGTCGACCACAAGCCGCTCGACATCCAAATCTAGAGGGAAGGGGGTCTTGAGACTAGTGAGGCAGTCTTTCGAGTGCCCGTGACCATCAAGGAAGAGCCTGGGAAGGTCTTTCTTTCTAATTAGTGAGAATTTTGATGCAAGACATAGGGACATACTGATCCAAACCCTTCATGGACAGCTGCAAAGATGATCGGAGTTTCGATTGATGTTCCATGCCACCGGCTTAACATCACCGCATTCTCGCAACCTGTACAACAAAAGCTTTGGCCGACAACAAGAATTATGGTCGAGCTAATTGCAGCGGAGTTCTAGAAGCTGAATGATGCAGGGTTCATCTGGGAGGTACAATATCCCACCTGGCTCTCGAACGTGGAGATGGTTTGGGATCCCAGTGGTAAATGGAGAATGTGCGTCGACTTCACCAACCTCAACGTTGTTTGTCCTAAGGACAGACCCCTTGCAGAGAATCAATAAACTAGTGAACGCAGCGGTCAGCTACTCCATAATGAGTTTCCTCAATGCGTTCTCAGGCTACCATCAATAAAAATGCATCCGACAAACTTAGAAAAGACTAAATTTATTACCGTGAAAAAAAAAAATGTCTTGATGTAATGTCCTTTTGGCTAAAAAATGCTGATGTGCGGCCTACCAACACTTCATGAATGTAATTTTTTCGAATCAGAAAAGAAAGAATATTGACTGA